GAGAGTTAAGAAATTGGGTGTGGTCGTTGGGGAAAGTGGGCGTGGTTCTAACATAACTCTCCGAAATCATAACTCTCCGAGATAACTCTCCACTTCATAACTCTCCGTTTAGCCGGTCCCCTTACAAACCCTAACGATAATTCACTGAAATACAAGTTAGCCTGATATGTCATTAAGCAAACAAACGCTGGAGTTAATATTTGATATGCCGATTTTCGCTGATTTTAGACACATCCCAAAATATGCTGCCGATTTTGAACATTAATATATCCGTGAATGTTTAAGTAAAATACAACTGTAATATATCAAAATCTAAGTTAGTCCTTCCTCTATTTAATGCAAGTTATTTCTGTTTGATAGCTGTACTTGTTTAGAAGTTATTATAAATCAAACCGGAGTACTTTTTTGGGGACACCCGGTAGTTTCTTAGGGCCATGGGCATGGTATTAAGGTAATACCGCAGTAATTGTTCCCGAAATGAGAATGTGCTGAAACTTCCCAGGCATGGAGTTTATGATATACTTAAAATCACACAAAAAAGTCGAGGTCACCGAACTCGTTAAGAAGATATGACAATCACAATATACCACCTTTACCCCAATATGGCGCCATCTTGACGCTCATTACGAGTAACAGCAAAATCACAACAGCCCGATATTTATTGACGTTTTTAGCGCGGATTTTGCTTTAGTAAACCTATCTTGTAATTATTTTTGAAAAACTATTGTGTTTTGAGCAAAATGAAACTACTATAAACGTGTACAATTGTCAATTCTGATCCACAAATGCCTTTTGCACATTTCTTTACATCTTTCTTTGAGAACATGCATTGATAAAGCATATTTTATCAAGATCCAGAAATGATTTTTCTTTTAATTTCGGATATGAAATGTAAAATGCATTAAAGAAATAAATTATCGGTTAAAAATTATGGATGAAATTATAAGTTATAAGCCGTGCGCAGTAAAAGTGCGCAATGCAAAACTGCGGAATTACCTTAAAGGCCATGAAATAGAAGTCATGAAATGATGCCGATTTTTCGCACTGAATTCGGTAATAATTGGCTGAGAAGCACTTTCAGCGGTCCATATTTTCCCTACGGGCTCGGTCTGTACAAAAAAGACCTCGGTCCGATATTTCTCTGTAAAGACCTTGCGCTCGGTTAATAAGAGGTTAGTACACTGATGTTCAGTGGCTACTATGGCACTGATACAAGAGCTGAGGCAATTATACTGTTTGCATGCTGAACACGAGTGGATAGTTGTATACCATTTTATGTTTAATGTCTATTGTTTGACAGCTTGTGTTTGGAGGTCACTAGTTCTTTTGTATAGTCGTGTTAAAATATCGACAAGCTTGGTTCTCGTGTGTCGCAGATAATCGGAGATTTGTCTGCCTAAAATCCATAGGAATAGCTAAGATGCACAGGGCCTATTGAATATTAGATAGATAGATCATTTATTAAATCAATTTTGGCAGTTTAAAAAAACTGAATTACAATTGAGTTAACATCAAATACGGTTAATAATTTATGCAACCATACTAATACCCATTTACAATTAGGATTGGGAATTTTGGGATGCGTAATTAAAAATATAAGAGTTTTTTAATCTGTTCGTATTTATATCTTCTCAAATCAACTAAAATATTCGGCTATATTAACTGCTATACGTTTACAAACGTTCGGCTAGGATATTTATCATAATGCGCACATGGTTTTTCGTCCCCCATTACCAGCATCTTCACGTGGAGTCGTGGACCCTTGGTCGAGACGTGAAGATTTTTGTCTTCTGTAAACATACCAAATATATACTACATTCAATTAACTCACGCATAATCCTAAAATCAGTAAAATAGGCCGAAAAAAAAGCAAGGCGCAAGGTGCCACGACCCTATCAGCTCTGTCTGTATTTAATTATCGTGGTTAAATAAATGCTATAAACTAACTAAAAAATTAAACGAATAAACAATTATCTTCCCAATTCTTTTACTAATTATTAATTGAAACCCTGTCTTGAACCTTGTAAAAATATAGAACAATTAAATTTCATGCTTCAATTTCGTTCGAGGTATCTTCATTACCATCTTCAACATTCGGAGACTTATCACAAGTTGATATTTCTGTGGCCTTCATATCAGACGTATCTGGTTCCTCACGAGTTTTGGCAACATCACTGTCTTTAGTCGAGTGTCCTTCTGAATATTGTTGGTCAGTGGTGGGAACTACGTCATCACCAGCTTGTTCACCTGGTTCCTCCTTTGTATTACTTCCGATATCATCCCATATTATGTCTTCCGGGTTAGGAACAGCTAGTAAAAAATCTTCATTTGGGCATATGGACGTGAAAATATCTTTAGCCTAAATTGAAGACAGCATATGTTATTATATAGTTAATCTGAAATCTGATTGGCTCTCTACTAGCAGGATATTACTTCTTTTTCTGCCAGTAGAAAAACAAGATGGCGGCTCAAAAATTAATGGAGTTTTCTGAAAAAGGAATCAGTAAGTTATTCGCTTTTAATAGCATTAAAAGGAATAAAAACAGAATGAAAATACTCCCAGCAATTGTTTACAGTTAATGCCAAAAGTAATGCCAAAAGAGGTCAATTTATAGATGTGAAATTAACGAGTACTTGTAATTTTGTCTGAAAAGCCTTGAAATACATTCATGTCAAAATATTGCCATACAGATGAATCTGTGAATTCAGTAGTTGTCTATATAACAAAACAGTTATTCTACTCACTCGTATATGGTTGATACAGTAACTAACTCGGTGTTTCGCACCTCGTTGGCAATCAGCTCATATACGACTCGAGTTCGCAGAATATTAACAATAGAGCGTTTGCACTCATTCCCCAGGGAGCAACTCAACAAAAGCCATGGCGGCCATGTTGGTGTTCCAGACAAAAGAGTTTCATTAAAATTCTTTTGAATTGGAACACCAACATGGCGGCTGTGACGTCATGTGCAAACGCTCTATACACAATTATATATTCGACGGGGTTGAGCAAAATCGCAGCTCTATTATTTAATTTATTTGCCTCTACCTTCGGCATCGGAAATAATTGATCTGACAAATCACAATATTTTGCGATAATCGAGTTAAATAATTGCTTTATCATTCACTTCATGAAAGACATCTACTGTACCTGTGTGTAAGTGTAAACTCATGTGAATGATAATAAGGAAAAATACTAATGTGTATCAACTAATAAAGATATCAGTTGATCTGTGGAGTAATAGTAACAGACAATACATGATTATTATAATAATTATTGTAGTTTCACCATTCAATACCTCTGTTAAGGCATCTTCAAAGTCCAAGTGAGCGGAAGGCAGCGAGGTTATTCTTATATTCGACGGAAGCTTACTAATATTTGCGGGAACACCACTCTCCATATTGAAATATACTGACCACAAAATCACTGGCTTTTCACAATCACTGTCAACCGCATCTGTAAATAGAATTGGTAATTAAAAGTTAAGGTTATAGGACACCATTTTACGCTCAAATTTTCACAAATTTTGAAGCAAAAACTCGCTGAGTTATGAGGTAAAATGTTTCACACGCTATCGACGCTGACCATTGATTTTGATGATATCATAATATCGCCTTTGAAAGTAAGGCCTACAATTTCGACAGCTAAAAGTAGCTAATTCATGTTTCAATTTTAGTGCACAAATATAAACGATTTGAAGTACACTCACCTGGTGTGGTAAACAGGTCTTCTACATAAGAACTGAGATCTTCTGAAGCATTTACCACAGTTTCAGTAGTAACATGAACAACACAGAGGGATTCTGGACAAGCCATTGAAGATGGCGCCAACTCAATAACACGCACAGGATATCCATTGGAACGACCTGGTATTGTAAGCATACTGATGTGTTCCCGCGGCGCTTGTTTTAGTGATCTATCTGTGATTAATATAGCCCGTGATATCATGCTGTGAGTGACTATCTCGAAAACGTCTGGTGCATACGACTTCTCCATGATAAGCCATTTAGTATGCAGTCGTTGACCATCTTCAGAAATAACTGCCAGGCAATTCTTGTTGTTTTCATCAAGAACCAATGATTTAACATTCTTGCGTAAACAGTATATTCCACCAAATACTGCGCACATACGACAGAACGCTTGTGGTAGTTCACCAGCACCATACAATGACCATAAAAATGGCGTGTTTCCATAGCGACCTAATGATCGCAAAAACTTCTGCGTGGCCTTCAATCCGGAAAGGGTAGACGTATTCACGGGTACACCAGCAATAGCGTTAAGAATAATATGCTGGAGGTTGGTGGTGAGTTTACGAGATTTTAAGAAATCTGTGAATGGTTTATCTTTAAAACTTTCGTACTGTTCAGGACAATCTTCAAAAGTAGAACAAAATGTCATAAACCGCATCAAAGCACGTTTTTCTAACACATTAAGTAACTCACTGCCAAATACGTCCGATCTAGAGCAAGGAACTTCTTCAACCTTCCCGTCCATGTAGGTCAAAATACGACCGACTATTTTAAACTCAGCATAATGGGAAATATTTGCACTTATCAAAGATTCCACCAATAAGCCACGCGAGAAAAGGACTTTAGGAGATAGGTCAAGGTTAAATTTCCGACTTTTTTCTGAAAAATCTTTGTGGGTCGAATTTCTGTCCAATTTTTTACCGTTCTTCATCTTCCGTTTTTCCGCCCAACTAACGACATTATGTACTTCAGGTGCTTCTTCTGGAGGTTCTTCGATACCTTTCTTTAGTCCACTGTCAGATTCAGGACTGATGTTTGACCCATTCACTTCATTGACATCACTTTGTTCTGCATGTCCTTCATTACCTTGATTCCCTCTATCCTTAGTTTCAGAATTGTCGTGTGTTCCAGTTGGTTCGCTGACATCACTTTGTTCTACATTGGAAACAACTGCTATGTTACTTGGTTCCTTCGTTTCGTCTTCGGTTGCAGTGGGAGCTTCATGGCATGATTGAGCATCACTGTTGGAATCACACGAAGCATTCTGGTCCTCGTATGTTTCAGGTGTGTCAGAATCCAGTTCAGTCACATGTACAGGCTCGTGAGCTATCAGGTCTTCACTACCTTTTCCCACACTCGCATCTGAAGGATTAGACACAATATTGGCTTCATTTACCCTAGATTGGTTGTCTACGTCTTCATTATCAGGTTCTACGTCCCTAAGAGTAAATACGAAATTAAAAGTAAATAGATCTATAACTTAAAATGCATCAATGCATCAGCGCTATAGGGAGAATACTACTACAGTCGAACCCCTATAAGCGGACACCTCTCTTAAGCGGACACCTCTTTTAAGTGGACACATATCTCAGGTCCCATTCGTTTTCTTTAATAAAATACTATTATCATAACCCCTATTAAGCGGACACCCCTCTTTAACGGACGCGGACACCTT